GTAAAAAGAAAGTGCTTAAAAACAACCAAGAATACTGTATTTAGCAAAAGGGACCTGCAAAAACAAAGGAGAAATTTAGACTTTCCTCAATAAAGAAGAGCTAAGGAAGTTCATTAGTGCTCTAGACCTGTCCAACAAGAAATGCTCCAGGGAGTCCTTCAAAATAAAATAAAAGGAATCCAGATAGTACTGGTAACCCAAATTTGAAGATAAAATTCTCCACTGAAGTAAATAAATGTGCCAGGTGCAGTGGCTCACAAATGTAATCTTATCACTCTGAGAGGCCGAGGCAGGCGGACTGCTTGAGGTCAGAAGTTTGAGATGAGACTGGCCAACATGGTGAAACCCCATCTCTACTAAAAATACAGAAATTGCATGGTGGTGCATGCCTGTAATCCCAGCTACTTGGGAGGCTGAGGCAGGCAAATCACTTGAACCTGGGAGGCGGAGGTTGCAGTGAGTCAAGATTGCACCACTGCACCTCAGCCTGGGTGACATAGTGAGACTCCATCTCAAAATGAAAAAAAAGTAAATAAATGATCAAACAGAGACATGTATCACTGCACTTTTTATTTGTAGCTTTGCTTTTAATTCTTCCCTAGCATGTGAAAGACAAAATCTTATGAAGCATTATAATATATGTTTATGGGGACAGAACATATACAGAAGCAATTTCTGCCATTAATAACATAAAGTGACAGAGAGTCATAAAGTAGTGCTTTGTGCACATAATCAAAGTCAAGCTGTTAACACTTTATTTTTTAAAATTTAATTAAAAAAAATTTTTTTTGAGATGGAGTCTCACTCTGTTGCCCAGGCTGGAATGCGGTGGCACGATCTCAGCTCACTGCAATCTCTGCATCCCAGGTTCAGGCAATTCTCCTGCCTCAGCCTCCTGAGTAGGTGGGACTACAGGCGCCCAAGCCCGGCTAATTTTTTGTATTTTAGTAGAGTTGGAGTTTCCTCATGTTGGCCAGACTGGTCTCAAACTCCTGACCTCAAGTGATCTGCCTACCTTAACTTCTCAAAATGCTAGATTACAGGAGTGAGCCACAGTGCCCAGCCAAGCTGTTACCATTTTAAAATGGATTGTTTGACCTGTATAATGTTTTATGTAACTGCAATGGTAACTACACACAAAGAAACAACAGAGGCTGGGCACGGTGGCTCACACCTGTAATCCCAGCAGTTTGGGAGGCTGAGGTGGGTGGATCACCTGAGGTCAGGAGTTTGAAACCATCCTAGCCAACACGGCGAAACTCCGTCTCTACTAAAAATATAAAAATGAGCCTAGCATAGTGGCATGTGCCTGTAGTCCCAGCTACTCAGGAGGCTGAGGCAGGAGAATCACTTGAACCCAGGAGGCAGAGGTTGCAATGAGCTAAGATCATGCCACTGCACTGCAGCCTGGGTGACAGAGCAAGACTCCGTCTCAAAAAATAAAATAACAATAAAAAGCCAAAAGAATATACACAAAATGAAACAAGATGAAAATCAAAGCATGTCACTACAACCCCCCCCCGCCACACACACACACAAGACGGCAGCAAGAGAGAAATGAAGGAGAAAAATTTGTAAGATGCTACAAGATCTACAGATATTATGTGACTAAATGACAACAGTAATTAAGGTCTTCTCTATCAGTACTTGAAATCTAAAGACTTAATTTTGTAATCAGAAAAAACCATAATCTAACCAAATCTTATCCACAAGCGACACCCTTAAACTGTAAGGACATTTACTGGCTGAAATTGGAAGGATGGAAAAAGATACTCCATGCAAATGGTAACCAGCAGAGAGCAGCGGTGCTTATGTTAACATCAGAGAGAATATGCTTTTACTCAAAAACTGTTATAAGACACAAAGCTTATGATGACAACAAAGGATTCAATTCACCAAGATGATATAACAGTTATACATACGTAAGCACCAAACATCACAGCGCCTAAATATAAAATGAAAACACTGACAAAATTCAAAAGAGAAATAAACAGCTCCACAATATACAAGTGGACTTTACTATCCCATTTTCAAAAATGGATGGAACCATATAGAAGAATAAATAGAGGACTAAATCATCACAGTGCACCTATTAGACAAGACAGATGTATACTGAACACAGCATGTTCAGAATACAAATTTTCTTTCTTTTTTTTTTTTTT